GTATTAGGGACCGTGGTGAACATTTCGGAAATTTTTATTTCCAGGCGAAAAAAAGTCAAAAATTTCTAAATTGAAGGCTAATATCCACGCTTTTTGAGAATTTTGGAGGATTCGGGGCCCAATGTCGAAAAGTCTTGAAATTCTAGATGATACATCTTGGGGTCATTTAATGTCTTTTGGAACCATATATGATCATTATTCGTTGTCATAAATGTTCGTGGCAGGCTTGAGTTAATGAAATCGGTGCAAGTTGTAAGCCGGTAAATCGGCTGTTTAAAGGCAAATTGGATGGTTCCACCCAACCAGGTGTACTCCCGAAGGGTATTAGGGACCATTGTAAACATTACGTAAATTTTTATTTTCAGGCGAAAAAAAAGTCAAAAAATTCCAAAATTGAAGTCTAATATATCCACCCATTTTGCGAAATTTTGGAGGTTTCGGGACCCGGTGTCGAAAAGGCTTGAAATTCTAGGAAATACATATGGGGGTCATATAATGCCGTTTGAAACCATATATGATCATTAAATTTTGTCATAAATGTTCGTGGTAGGTTTGAGTTAATGAAATCAGTGCAAGTTGTAAACCTGTAAATTGGCAGTTTAAAGGCAAATTGGATAATTATACCCACCCAATTGGACGCCCGGAGGGTATTAAGGACCATGCTAAACATTTTGGAAATTATTTATTTCCGGGCGAAAATAAGTCAAAAATTTCCAAAATTGAAGACTAATATCTTTTAATTTTGGAGGTTTCGGGGCCCAGTGTCGAAAAGCCTTAATATTTAGGGGATACATCTCGGGGTCATATAATGCCGTTTGGAACCGTATATGATCATTATATGTTGTCATAAATGTTCAAGGTAGGCTTGATTAATGAAATTAGTGGAAGTTGTAAACAGGTTAATTGGCTGTTTAGAGGCAAATTGGATGGCTCGGCTTCCCGAAGGGTATTAGGGACCATGGTAAAAAATTTTGCAATTTTTATTTCTGGGCGAAAAAAAAGTCAAAAAAATTACAAAATTAAAGTCTAAGACCCATGCTTGTTTATAAATTTTGGAGATTTCGAGGCCCGGTGTCGAAAAAGCCTAGAAATTTTAGGATTACATCTCGGGGTCATATAATGCCGTTTGGAGCCATATATGTTCATTATATGTCGTCATAAATGTTCGTGGTAAGATTAAGTTAATTAAATCGATTCAAGTTGTAAACCGATAAATTGGTCGTTTAAAGGCAAATTGGATGGTTCCACCCAGCCAATTGGACTCCCGGAGGGTATAAGGGACCATGGTAAACATTTCGGCAATTTTTATTTACTGGTGAAAAAAGTCAAAAATTTTCAAAATTGAAGGCTTAATTATATCCACGTTTTTTGAGAAATTTTAGAAGTTTCGGAACCCGGTGTTGAAAAGACTTGAGATTTTAGGGAATATATCTCAGGGTCATAAAATGTCGATTGGAACTATTTATGATCATTATTAATTGTCATAAATATTCGTGGTAGGTTTGAGTTAATGAAATCAGTCCAAATTGTAAACTGGTAAATTGGTCGTTCAGAGGCAAATTGGTGGTTCCACCCACCCAATTGGACTACCGAAGGGTATTAGGGACCATGGTAAACATTTCATCAATTTTTATTTTCGGAAGAAAAAAAGTTTAAAAAATTCCAAAACTGAAGGCTAATATCCACGCGTTTTGAGAAATTTTTTAGTTTTCGGGCCCGGTGTCGAAAAGATTTAAGATTTTAGGGGATATATCTCGGTGTCATATAATAATACTGTTTTAAACCATAAATGATAACTATATATTGTCATATATGTTCATGGTAGAATTGAGTTAATGAAATCGGTGCAAGTTGTAAACCGGTAAATTCGCCATTTAAAGGCAAATTGGATGGTTCCACCCACCTAATTAGACTCCTGGATTGTATTAGGAACCATGGTATACGTTTCGGAAATTTTTATTTACAGGCGAAAAAAAGTCAAAAAGTTCCAAAATTCAAGGCTAATAACCACGCTTTTTGAGAAATTTTGGAGGTTTTGAAGCCCCTGGTATCGAAAATCCTTGAGATTTCAGAGGATACATCTGAGGGTCGTATAATGCCGTTTGGAACCATATATGATCATTATATGTTGTCATAAATGTTCGTGGTAGGCTTGAATTAATGAAATCGGTGCAAGTTGTAAACCGATAAATTGGCCGTTTAAAGGCAAATTGGATGGTTCCACCCAGCCAATTAGACTCCCAAAGGATATTAGAGACCATGGTAAACATTTTGGCAATTTTTTATTTCCAAGCGAAAAAATTCAAAAAATTCCAAAATAATATCCTCGCATTTTGCGAAATTTTGAAGGTTTCGGGATTCATTGTCGAAAAGTGTTGAAATTCAAGGGAATACATCTTGGTGTCATATAATATCGTTTGGAACCATATATGATTATTTTATGTTGTCATAAATGTTCGTGGTAGGCTTGAGTTAATGAAATCGGTGCAGGTTGTAAAATCGATAAATTTTTCATGTAAAGGCAAATTGGATGGTTCCACCTACACAATGGGAATCTCGGAGTGTATTACGGACCATGTTAAATATTTCGTCAATTTTTATTTTTGGGCAGAAAAAAGTAAAAAAATTCCAAAATTGAAGGCTAATATCCACGCTTTTTGAGAAATTTTGGAAAAACCTTAAGATTTTAGGGGATACATCTCGGGGTCATATAATACCGTTTGGAACCATAAATGATCATTATATGTTGTCATAAATGTTCGTGGTAGGATTGAGTTAATGAAATCGGTGCAGGTTGTAAACCAGTAAATTGACCGTTTAAAGGCAAATTTGTTGGTTCAACCCACCCAATTGGACTTCCGGGAGGGTATTAGGGACCATGGTAAACATTTCAGCAATTTTTATTACCTGGCGAAAAAAGTCAAAAAATTCCAAAATTAAAATCCACGTTTTTTGAGAAATTTGGATGTTTCGGGGCCTGATGTCGAAAATAAATGACATTTTAGGGGATATATCTCAGGGTCATATAATGCCTTTTGGAACCGTATATGATCATTATATGTTGTCAGAAATGTTTGTGGTACGCTTGAGTTAATGAAATCGGCGCAAGTTGTAAACCGGTAACTTGTCTGTTTAAAAGCAAATTGGATAGTTCCACCCACCCAATTGAACTCCCGGAGGGTATTAGAGATCATGATAAACATTTCGGAAATCTTTAATTCCGGATGAAAATAATCTCGAAAAATTCAAAAATTGAAGGCTTTATCCACGCTTTTTGAGAATTTTTGGAGTCTTCGGAGCCTGGTGTCGAAAAGTCTTGAAATTCTAGGGAATACATCTCGTGGTCATATAATGTCGTTTGGAACCATATATGGTCATTATTTGTTGTCATAAATGTTCGTGGTAGGCTTGAATTAATGAAATCGGTGTAAGTTATAAACCGATAAATTGGTCGGTCATATAATGTCGTTTGGAACCATATATGGTCATTATTTGTTGTCATAAATGTTCGTGGTAGGCTTGAATTAATGAAATCGGTGTAAGTTATAAACCGATAAATTGGTCGTTTAAAGGTAAATTATTGGATGGTTCCACCCACCCAATTGGACTATCTAAGGAATAATTTTTCAACCTTTGCTGCTTATAAAATTAATAAATACTCTAATAGAACTTGTCGAGAAATTTCTTTATTTCTTTCTGTTTTAAGGACCAAGTAATTTCAATTTCATTAATCTTATTACCTACTGTATTGAATTATTCCAATAGCTCGCCCTTTGTTGAAATAATATTCCAATATTGTTACCCATTGAAATATATCAATTCATTTTTAATTTTTTTTTATAAAACATTCATTTTTTGTAACAAATATAATTTTGTGCGACGAGTAAAAGAATATACGAGTACATTATATATGAAGGCTCAAGAGGCTTTGAGATGTGAAGGCATCAACCTCAAAACTCCACATAAGAAAATGATACATAAATTTTGTCCTTTATTGAGCACTTCAGCATTCATATCATATGATATACTTGTACTAGTAAGCTGATGTCATCTTATCTATTCGAGTTAATCCAATGTGAATGCCATGACTTACTAGAAGGTGGTCCGTTCACTTGTATTTGTGCGCATAGTTTATAGTTTGAGGTTGATGAATTCAATTTTCTAACTTTAATAATATGCTCTTATGAAATAGAAAATTCATAGGATATTAAGTTTATGATGTGGATTAAATTAAATAATCATATATAAACTCATACATAAGCATTAGATAATATATATTGTATACTACATGCATGATCATGAATAAAGAATTGATGGATACATGATTTGGATGAAATTGGATTATATAATAATTAACTTAACTTAATCCTTAAGAAAGTATAACAAGTTAACAACATATTATTCATCTTGAAAAAACTAAGTTTGGAAATTAAGTACAAATTTTAGACTAATGAAAAGTATCCATAGAGTTTGAATTATTATTATTTTTTTAAGTATAAAGCGCAAAAGAAAGTCAAAATAGTTTATGTAAATACTGATATAAGATGAGGGTTATTAAATTAATTGTAATTCACAATTAAATAAATGTTCAGATAAAAGAAAATAAGGAAATTTATGTGAAAGCAACAAAACGTGAAAGCCTAATACAAACAAGTTGTTTAAACTAAACTTAAAGTTATTCCAAAATAAACCTCTCAAATACTTTAATACTTGGTACTAAGCTATTAGCTAAGCACATACTTAAAACCCACATAAATTAATTATACACTAACCGCACTTATAGACTACTAGTCCTAAACTTGAGATTCTTTGATTCTTTCAAACTTTGATGGAATAATATGAAAATTATACCATATAGTTTACCTACCCTTGCAAGTATGTATTATCTTCATCATACTAGGAATGTAACAAGTCAAAAAAGCCAAAAATAACTCCCTAATCAACATGACGTAACATTAATTATTAATTAAGTAATTAAATAAATAGTTATTAATAATAATCTTCTATCCATATCTTTCACTACAAGACAAGAAACCCTCACCCATATAATCCCCTCACCTCTCTTTGCAAACATTTCAAACACCCATTTCATTCTTCCCCCCTTTTTAGCAAGAAAAACTCTATTTCTCTCTTTCCACCCCCCTTTTTTCCAAAAAAAAAAAAAAAAAAAAAAAACAAACTTTGAATTTCCTACCAAAAAAAAACTTACAAAATTTAACAAGCTACTATAATAATGGATGCAAAAAGATGTTCTAGTAGTCTTCCTCCTGGTTTTAGGTTTCATCCAACTGATGAAGAATTAATCATACACTACCTTAAGAATCAAGCTATGTCTAGGCCTTGTCCTGTTTCAATTATTCCTGAAGTTGATATATACAAGTTTGATCCATGGCAATTACCCGGTTCGTATAATTTAATTTTGATATATGGTCTAATATGTAACATATTTTCTTAACAAACATTGTTTTATGCATGAATGAAAACTTACTGAATTTTTTTTATGATTGGTTTAATTTGGTGTTTTGCAGATAAGGCAGAGTTTGGAGAAAATGAATGGTACTTCTTCACCCCTAGAGATAGGAAATACCCGAATGGGATCCGACCCAATCGAGCTACGTTATCGGGTTATTGGAAGGCCACGGGCACGGATAAGGCCATATATAGTGGAGCTAAGTATGTTGGGATTAAGAAGGCTCTTGTTTTTTACAAGGGTAGACCTCCTAAGGGGTCTAAGACTGATTGGATTATGCATGAATATCGTTTAACTGAGTCTAAGCATCAACCCATCAAGCAACATGGATCCATGAGGGTACGTTAAGCCGCCTTTTTTTTTTTTACCCGGATTTATTAATTATTTCTAATGATTGTCTTTGTTTTGTTTTATGACGATCTTTTAAATTAAATGTTACCTTAAAATATTCAAACAAGGTTACTCTAATTAATAATTCAATATAAATTTTGAAAGTTAATTTGAATTCGTCTCAATAAATAATATATATGATTGTTAATTTTATTTATTTTTTACAGTTGGACGATTGGGTGTTATGTAGAATCTACAAGAAGAGGCATGTCGCGAGGGCAGAGGATTCATCGAGTTCGCCACAAGGGCAAATAAGCATGGTGGAAGGAGGAGCAAGTGATGCATCTAGTAATCAAAATGAACCAGAAATAAAGTTCCCAAGAACTCAATCATTATCATACCTATTGGATTTGGACTACTTGGGCCCAATAGCCCATTTACTAAATGACAACACTTCATATAATTCAAGCTTTGATATCCAAACAAGTATGGGTAGTAATGCTGGATTAGACCAACATGTGGGCCCATACCAAAATATTGGATTAAGCTGTCACCAAATAAATGGGAACCCATGTTACCCATCATCTTACAAATAGGATGTAGTATAGTTTTTAATTTTTAATTTTATTTAAATGGCACATCTCAATTTGTTTTGGAGATGTATGATTGTGAATAGTCTTAGGTCATCCAATTGTACATAAATTATTGTTCCTTGATTGATTGTCTTTAAGCTTTTCATTAGAGACTACTAGTGTTGTTTATTTGCTATTTTTCTTTAATATTTTCTTCATTTGGAAATTTTAGGGAATGTAATTATTATTACTTAGAAGCTAAGAACTAATTAACTTATATGTTTAATGTTTAATACTTGGTATTTATTTATTAAGAGGCAATGAGTAGTGTCCATTTTGATATATGTGTTGTTAGCTTAATGATTCAAAATATTTCAAATAATAGAGAAAGATTCAAACAAAGGTTAATTGTGGAATAGAGATCTTATTCTTATTCTTTTATTTTTGCTTAATTCTGATTGAAAATTTATATATGATAAAATAATTAGTATTATAAACACATTAATTGGTGAATCACTTCGGTATTCGGTGAATACTCTCCCCTAAGGCCTTAAATGAGCTTTACAATCTATTTTATTTGTATATGTTGTATGGTATTTGTCCCATTTTTATCATCATACAATCATCTCATCAGTCCAAGAGTATCGTTGCTTGCATGTGAAATATACCTATATTTTTCATGCACTAATCTTTTTATTATGCTATCAATTAATGTCTTAAATTATGCCACATAAAAATATAAAATGCTTCAAAGATGTTCTTTCTTTGTATCATTTTTGTTCTCAAATTAAAATCAAAAGTAAAATTTATATTGGGACTAAAAAAGATCAAATTTGAATCTCGAATCACCCGTTATTTAATATTAGAGGTGGTAGATTTTACCTAAGCATAACTGTATGAAAATGTTGACATCATTGCCTCATTGGTGACTCGTATTTTATCCTTTCTGACCATTATATTAGGCGTACAAATTTCCATTCAATATTTGACAATTTATAATGTTATGAAAAGTATAGTGGCGACTATATGTCTTTCCTTGGGCAAGCACCAAGTAATAATATCGGGTTTTTGAGATCCTGTAATTCAATTTCTGGCGGCAAATGTCCGTAGTTTTTATTAGCTTGTGATAGATACCATGGTAATCAAGACGTAGCAGATCAAATTTCGTTTACATTATTGTTGACTAACTTTACCAAAAAAAAAAAAAAAAAACTATATTTCTGTTAATTATAACAATTTTTAGCAAAATTGACATCAACACTCCCAAGTATGGTTTAGGTGCATCCAATACCATGTATGCGTAGTAGTCAAAACACCACAAACTAATGACTTGACTGTAAAGTGATCCTAGTTAGCATTTCGATCAATAATCTCATTGGACTAGGTGAACCTTCCAAAAAAATGTTTTGTTAAGGTTTTAGGGGTAATTTTAGCCCTTTTAAATCCGAACTAAGCATATAAACAACAAAATAACGTAAATGACTCGTTTTGCATGTCAAGAAATGCTAGGATTTGCATATCATTGTGTTTTAAGCCTTGAATCAATTGCTCAAATAAAGTTTAGAGGGTCATTTTCCAAATTAAGCTCGAAATCGGATACAAAATAACGCAATTGTCTCATTTTACGTGTCAATTCGTTATTTCTTGACATGCAAATTGAGACATTAACGTTAGTTTTTTGCCATCCGAGCTTAATATGGACTAATAAAGAGCTATAAAAACAAAGCTAAACTAGTGCATCTACATGTATATAAAGCTTGATTGTGTCAATCATTTTAGAACATATAGATGGAGTATCTTCTAAAATATAATTGTACTAATAAGTGTTGTTAGAATCATTAATAACTCAAATTATTACAGGCTTAGAATAAAAAAGAAAAGTAAAGGAAATTTGTAAAACAAACATGAGATAAGGTAATACTCCGTATATTACATGGTTTCGACACATCCGCAAGAGTAATAAATAACGAGACCTTGATATCACACTCACAAATTGACAATAGTGATATCATATTCGTACTATGATATAACTTCTAATTTTAATTTTATTTATTTACGTGTAAACATTAATAATGAATATCATTTGCATGTTGATTAATTAACTTTATCCATTCAAACCATATTTTGAGAAAGTATGATACCTTTCATTATTCCCACTTTAGAGGAAGCTTACAAATAAAAAAGCCTAGGACCACAATTACTAGCTAACTCTGGAATATCCGTAAAGCTTATGGCTTGTACAAGATGATTTCCTATTTTAGATTATAACCCACCTTTCTATTTTGACAATGACCCATTACACTTACAAAGATTAAATTGTATTTATATTAAATTATACCGACTAGAATATAGACAAGACTAGTATGTATGTGATTCAAGTCGATCAAAAAAATGTTTGATTTGAGTAGGTTTGGGTCATTTTTTGTTCGGCGATGATCAGTGTTTTTATTTTGGTAATATTAGTTTGCTTTGTGTGTGCCTTTTAGAATCATGTCTTGTTCAATACAATCGTCATATTATTAATCAGTATTAATTTATAATTGAGATTAGGTTATGTAAACCTTGGATAATTATAGAACATTTTAATGAAGTTAATAAATGCTCAACATGTCATTCTCTTACTAAAAGATATATTCTTTTATTAAAGGGAATAGGTAGGATTACATATATGCCTTATAAGAGATAGGCATTTGGGAGTTTAGAAATTAAAAAATTAAGATGCAAATTTATCTACCAAAAGAGTTCAATTTGGTGCATTGCATGTGTACACTTAGATAATGACATGGCAAAGATATTTGCCAAATCACAAGATAGAAAGTAGAGGATAACTTTGATGAGCAGCCAACTGTATTGAATCAGTCAACTCCATCCACAACCCTTTTGACTGTTTTTTGCAATTCCGTTGGGGTTGATCGCAAGTAAGCTCAAGCAAAAGAATGTGAATTGTATAAGGAGTAATAACTAATTTAATTAATTAGTGGAGGAATATATTTAGTGTATATGTACGTTTAGTTACGTTTAATTAACTGTTTTTGTTAAGCATTCATTGTATTTGTATTTTTTCATGGTATGGAAGACCTAACAACCTTAATCCTCAAGTTTTTTTTAGTCCACTATATAAAGTTCAAACACTTGGAAGTAGAGGAGAAGATGAGGAAATCTCACCCCAAATACTCTTATTAGGTAACCTCAGACCTCTAGGATTTGAGCTTAGAATTAACATTAATCAAGAGGCGAGCTAAAACTTTATTGGTGTCTTCTATCGTATTTATAATTACAACATATAATTAGTTTAAGACATATTGATCACACCAATAAAATTTGGAGATTTAGAGTGACTAGTAGACTAAAATTTTTGGTATGTCAAAAGTACATAACAAACAATTTACGTAGTATAAAAATGCATAGTTGTAGGTAATATAGGGATGTAATTTTATAATACACTAGCTCGTGGCCAAACGTTGTATTAGGTTGCTACTTTGTACATTTATTATAATTATATTTTGTACAATTGTACGTTATTTTTTTTTAATTATTTTAAAAACATTTGATATATCATATATCAACTTTGTTGTGTTTGTGTTACGGTTGTAATACTTCGGTCACATTATTATTTATTCTTTTTAGTTATCAAATGTCTAGCTTAACAAATAACAACAATTGAATATTTGATTAATAAGTTGTTATTCTTGTACATATAAAAAGTATATACACATTATTCACAATCATAATGCTAATATCATTTTAATTAATTTGTAAAATTACTAATATTGTCGATCTTGTAATAATTCTAAATTAAATTTAGCTATGTCAATATAAAATACAAAAAATTATGAAATGGAAATAGTCACTCCCAAACACTTAAAAATTAACATTAGCTGTACAAGTAATTTACAATTTTATACTTAGTATATGCTACAACTTAAAAGGCATTAATATGCGGGTCAAATTAGCCGATTCTAAGAAATTAAAGAAGTGGTCGAAGTACTAGATCTTCTTTGACCACCTTTTATCTAAGGATCATTTGCATTGCTATTCGAAAGGGACTCGACCACCCGCACATACATAAGCATCATACTTTTATAGTTCTATTCCATATATTTGCAGTGGTATGTGTATATGCTTAATCAACAAATATTACTAATAAAAAATTTTCAACAAAGACCTACGTCGAACATAGGTCTTTGTTAAGGTAACGCGCCTCTTACTAATACACGTACATACACATGATATAATAGGCCTTTCAGAATTCAATCTTCGATGAACTCAACTTCATGGGAAATACACTCCTTTAATTTTGCCTTGGACATACCTCATGCATAGAGGTACATAATTTACTTTGTAAATTAATCACAATTGAAGGATGACAAAACTGCCAAAACTCTAATTATTGGTTAAACATTACCTTTGGAAAAGTAATAATAATGTACGATAAGATGTAATAGTTTAAGCCAACTACTAATGCTAGCTATTAAGAACATTAGGAAAGGAAGGTTATATAATGAAGTTAATTTAATTAAGACATGAATAAAACATTATCAGTTATACTTATATAGTTAATCTTGTTTAATACTAATCTAGTAACACATAGTAATACTACTTAATATATTCCTAAAAGTTTGACTTGGTAAAAATGTAGTTAAAATACAATAACATTGAGCGTATTTTATAATTTACTTAAAAATTAATTAGCACGTGTAATCTTGTTAAAGATAGGGCATGCATAAAAAAAACTCTTTCAGCCTTTCACCCTTAATTAATGAAATGAAACAACAAAGGAGACAGAAGAATATATATTTTTAATCTTATTATCTATGTATTCCAAACAAGAAATAACAAATATATTATCTTTATCCCTCATAACAATTTCTTATCCCTTATCACACTACCTCTTATCCCTATTCCTCCAATCCACCAAACTCCTTATAGAAGTAATGTTTGCATGATATCAATTATTTTTTATTATGATATCAAACTTTGATATAAAATTACTTACATCTATAATAACCTAAGCTAGAAGTAATTAGATTAGGTGGTTAACACAAATGACATGAATTATTCTTTGGCGCTTCCTTTTTGGCATACATGTAAAGATTGTTGGACATGATTTTATAGCTAATTTTATTAAATAAAATTTAACCTCATTTCACCAACTTTTTTCTCAACAATAAAATTTACCTATTACAAAACCCTCTCTCCTCTTAATCAACACAACACAACCAAAAACTAGCCAAAATCATTCATAATTGTGTAGCTTCATAATAATCAAGAAATGATCCAATCTGATAATTCTATACCCACAATTTCATCATCATTATCCTCAAATTATGATGATAATAATGGTTATTATAATATAGGATCCATGATATTGGTAGCATTTTGCATGGGGTTGTCATGGATAATAGTCCATAGGTGGGGCCAAAGGAACAAGGTGGGACCCAAGACATGGCCATTGATTGGAGCAGCACTTGAACAATTGATGAATTATGATAATATGCATGATTGGCTCGTTGAATATCTTTCCAAGTCTAAAACTGTTGTGGTTCCAATGCCCTTTACTACTTACACTTATATTGCTCATCCTGCTAATGTTGAGCATGTTCTTAAGACCAATTTTGCTAATTATCCTAAGGTACATACTTATTTATGTACTACTTTTGCTTAATCATCTTTATATTACACTTTATCGACTTTTGAAATCATGCTAATTAATTATATATTATTTTTAGTTGATAGGCTTATAGACTTATAGTTTTCCTAAAAATAATAGCTTAATAATTAATATAAGAAGTTAAATGTAGAAAAAATATAATATCGATTGAGATATGATTTTGCCATAGGTTTTGATGCACATCCATTAGAGCTATGCATAACATTATAACTTTGTAAATCATTGAACATAGAAAACTTCTCTGTCTGATTTGGGTTGGTTGAGAGTCAGTTATTTAGTAATATTTAAAAGGACGTGTATGTTAATTTGAAGCTCTATAATACAATATAAGTTGTATAGTATAGTATTTGACAATCTAGTAAAAATTCGAATAAATTCCAAAAGATTATGAAAGTAGTCGGTCTAATGGGATTTTACGCTTATTATATGCACCATTACGGTCTTTGGGGATAAAAATCCTCTTATTATATATTTTATCTACATCTGTTAAAATCCGGCGATTTGATCTATATGAGTACATGACTACATGCATGTATTTGTTAGGACTCTTGTGAGGGACTAACTCGAAAGTGGCTTATATTTTATGTCTATTTAATATCATAACTTAAAATCTACGGAGTAAATGCTTATTTGCCCAATTCCCAGTTGAATTTAACATTTATTATTAGAGCTAACCACCTATATGCCTCAAGGTAATGTTATACAATATTTTTTTTTTTTTGAAGGGAATGTTATATTATTATTAGTCCAGCACTAAATTGGCAAAGTCCATAAAATACTGCTAAAAATAAAGACCCATCAAAATTCTTGACACACATGCATGAAGCTCAGCAATGTTATACTTAAACCCAGCCCAATAGTGTTGATATCCATGGCCCAATTAAACATACAGTGCTAATAACTAAAGGGATCCTTATTAATTACAGAGTACTTAATTAGAAATCGAGGCACCGTAAGACCCTATTTTATTCGCCTTATTTCCACTTATTTTAGGGTAAATAAGTTTAGATAAGGATTAAATAAGTTCAAGAAAAATAAGATCAATTAAGTTTTGATAATCAGGGCTACTAAAGTTTAGTTTATAACTAAAATAAGTTCTAATAAGGGTTGATAAGTTCAGATTAGTTCAGATAAATCAGGTGAATAGAACGCACCCTAATACTACTCCGTAATAACTATAGTTTCTATAATGACTTGAATTCTATAGAACTCAATATGAACAACCTATTTGCCACCTCACATCTAACACAACTTTTCTGCTAGGGAGTATTTATTTTAGCAAGTTTTCTCCCATTTGATGATCGAATCGAAACTTAGGTTTGTACTACAAAGCATGAAACATACTTACATAGGTCATGTTAGAGCGTGCTTGTTTTACTATAACAATAAACACTGTTTAAGCTAACTTAAACTTTATATTTCAAAGGTTATTTTGTCTTCAAAATTACTTATCACATAGATTTAATTAGTAAATATTCTTCTGAATCATTTAAATTATCTATGATTGAAATGATTATCTATTATTTTTTATTTTCTCAACAAAATGACTAATTCTAATTTTAATTTTTGTGACAAGGGTGAAGTCTACCAATCGTACATGGAAGTTTTGCTAGGAAACGGAATTTTTAATGCAGATGGTGAAAGTTGGAGGAAACAGAGAAAAACTGCAAGCTTTGAATTTGCATCTAAGAACTTAAGAGACTTTAGTACTGTGGTCTTCAGAGAGTATAGCTTGAAGCTTTTTAACATTTTGAGTCAGGCATCATTCGAGCATCGATCCGTCGACATGCAGGTAACTCCCTACATTATTGATCAAAACTAACTACATTATGTTACATAAGAATTAATGTCTAGGTCCGATTTCAAAGTACACACTTTGATCATATTAGCGTTTTAAGGATACCTTAAAAGAAATATGTTATAGAGTAACATTTTTTGGATATTTGAAATAATAATGATTATATTTTATGTACATGTTATTTTTGTTCAGTCTTAGAGTAATACAAGCACATGTTCATACATTATGTTACATAGAAATTAATGTCTAGGTCCGATTTCAAGGTACAAACTTTTATCATATTAGTGTTTTGAGGATACCTTAAAGAAATATGTTACAGAGTAACATTTTTTGGATATTTGAAATACCATTTGAAATAATAATGATTACATTTTATGTACATGTTATTTTTGTTCAGTCTTAGAGTAATACAAGCACATGTTCATACATTATGTTACATAGAAATTAATGTCTAGGTCCGATTTCAAGGTACAAACTTTTATCATATTAGTGTTTTGAGGATACCTTAAAGAAATATGTTACAGAGTAACATTTTTTGGATATTTGAAATACCATTTGAAATAATAATGATTACATTTTATGTACATGTTATTTTTGTTCAGTCTTAGAGTAGTACAAGAACATGTTCATATAACTAAATTTCCTCTGCTGCTTTTAGGAATTGTTGATGAGGATGACATTGGACTCAATATGTAAGGTAGGTTTTGGTGTAGAAATCGGAACATTGGCGCCTGATCTACCAGAGAACGCGTTTGCTCGTGCTTTCCATACAGCTAACATCATTGTTACACTAAGATTTATTGATCCTCTTTGGAAGCTAAAGAAATTTTTCAATGTGGGTTCAGAGGCTTTACTTAGTGAAAGTATTAAAATCATTGATGATTTTACTTATTCTGTAATCCGGAAACGAAAAGCTGAAATTGAAGAAGCTAAAAGAAGTTCCAACAACATCAAGGTTTTTGCTTACATCATGAATTAGTTTTCACATTGTCTCAACCGTTCATATGTTGCATGATTACAAATTACGTGTTGTAACAGTTTTCCTAACCGAAATAATTAAACTTATGTGTGGTTAAACACTTCAGATGAAACATGACATACTATCAAGGTTCATAGAGTTGGGAGAGGATCCAGAGTACAACGCAACAGAGAAGAGCCTAAGAGACATAGTGCTGAATTTCGTGATAGCAGGGCGAGACACCACAGCAACAACGCTGTCATGGGCAATATACATGATAATGACCCATGAAAGTGTTACAGAAAAACTTTACTTAGAGTTAAAAGCAATTGAAGAAGAAAGAGCAAAGGAAGAAAATGTGGACTTAATTGAGTGTGATACAGAGGACCCTGTATCTTTTAACAAAAGGGTGTCACAATTTGCTGATCTTTTAACCTATGATTCTTTGGCTAAGCTGTACTACTTACATGCTGTTGTCACTGAAACTCTTAGGCTCTACCCTGCAGTTCCTCAAGTAAGTAATTATAATATAACTTTTCTTCTTATCGGCTTTGTTTCATATTTAAGATACTAGATTCGTCACTGGTTACAATTGTTCGGAATTTGTAGGATCCAAAGGGGATATTGGAGGATGATGTGCTACCAGATGGAACCAAAGTAAAAGCAGGGGGTATGGTGACTTATGTACCATATTCTATGGGTAGAATGGAGTACAATTGGGGTCCTGATGCTGCTGATTTCAAGCCTGAAAGGTGGCTTAAAGATGGTTTCTTCCAAAATGCCTCTCCTTTTAAATTCACTGCTTTTCAGGTATGTTCCATTTTAGCAAATAACCTCCAAACAAATTTTAAAATTAGAATCAGCTTTAAAATAGGTTTGATTTACTAGGCAGATAATCTAGATATAAACATCCAACTATACCATGTCATCTTTGGTAACATCACCTCTATACGTAATTACGTAGTATATGTAAATAATTTGTTACAGAGTACTCAGTAATTAATAACTTAGAAACACTAGAAAAAAGATGGGACACAAATGTGAATAAACCCATCATTATACACGCCAAGGATGATTATTTGTGTCAATCAATCGAACGAGTTCAAATTTGGCAGGCTGGACCAAGGATATGTCTAGGGAAGGACTCAGCATATTTACAAATGAAGATGGCGTTGGCTATTTTGTGTAGATTTTACAAATTTAAGCTGGTACCAGGGCACCCTATCAAATACAGAATGATGACTATTCTTTCAATGGCTCATGGAATGAAGCTTACGGTCTCTAGATGTTCTTAACTAGCTAGTTACTATTTGCAAGATTATTGTTAATTTATCATAAATATGTACGTGATATATCAACACTTGAAGATCAGTTTCACATGGAAAAGAACTACAAGATTAGCAATCAACCTTTTGTAGTGTAATTTGTTGTACGCTAATAAAATAATGAGAAGACAAGATAAGAAAAAGACGGATTATTGAATAAAAATGTAAATAAGAATACAAAGTTGAATAAGCAAGCACACTGCACACTTAGGTTGATAAGCACACGAGAAGAAAAGGCAAAGGTACGGTATGTAGTAAGTAAGGGTATGGTGTATACACTTATTGTATGCGTATAATACAGAAAAGGTGTAATAGCTCCATCCCCATCAGTGGATCTTGATAAGACGATGGTTGATATAATGAGATTACTTGATTTTAACAACATCGAAAACCGAAGTGGCCACAGAAGTATATCCAGGCTTGATGCTAGAAGACGCCTCAGCACCAGTTTTGACGTTATCAATGGCATGACTTGTATGGCCGGGAGCATTGAGAAGGTTAGCTTTGATAATCTCCCATCTATCTATGTTACCTTTAGGATAATCTTCAGCGGGCCCAACTTCCACGTAAGTCTGGAATGAAACATAACACATAACACGTACTAGTAATTAAATAATCAATGTATAGGTATATGTGTGTGTCAGAGATATGATATATTAGTATTTATCGGAAAATATATATGTGATATATGTACCTTGTTTGCGTTTCCATTGCCCGGTGTGTACCATGCAAAGACCCAAGCACATTCAGTGGAGCCACCCTTTTTACGAGGTCCAACATAAACAACAGCCCCCATTGAACCATCATCACCTTGATGCGTAAACTTGGCAGATGTTTTCACATCAATTTGAGGAGGGTAATCGCCCAAAACACTACCAGACCAATCTTTGGGCTCCTGGAATACAATGGTATCCTCACCAAAATTTAGGATCCAACCTCCTGTAGTAGCCAGACCACCACTTTCTTTAATTTTCATTATTTGATGATTTCCTGCCTCTACCTCTTTTTCCAGCTCAGCTATAGCCTTTAAGTGTGTCATTCATCTTTATTGATGATCCCATATTAGATTTTAGTCTGCAAAAATCAAGCAAACGACCACAAATTAAGTTAATAGTATTAATAATTATATTACTAATAATTAATATACCAATTTTGAGAAACTAAATTAAGTACCTTACTTTTGTAACTTTAATTTGATTTGATTTGATTGTTGAATTGATGAAGAATGCTTCTACCACTCCATCCTTATTTATAGCCTTAAGTTTTATGCCATGGATTAGGGTACTTACTATTCTATTCATTAAGTCAATGACTTAATGTGCTCATCATGGTGGCCCGTGCACCGCCATTTCTATTAAATTAAACTAAATGTTTTATTATTATTATTATTATTATTATTATTGATAACTATGTTTTTGAAGTACTGTATTAAATTATATATATTGAGGGGACAAGGTAGTTTCAAAACATTAACCTATTATTATTAATTGACTTTGTTGAATAATGGATTGAAATAGTCTTTTTTTTTTTTTTCATTTTCATTTTAACAAGGGCGTGGGCACGAATTCTAAAATTGTATTTCGCCCGCTAAATTTTTTAACTAAAGATAAAATACCTTTCGTACCAAGTTAATAAGATTGCCACCTTTTAATCTTGAAGTTGGGGATTCAATCCCCACTAAGGACAATTTGAGGTACGGCCAGGATCTTTCTCCTTACCATTTAAAAAAAAAAAAAAATTAAAAATACCTTTCGTGTTGGTGATGAGCCCCCGAGCAAACCCGCATTTTTTACTAAAAATTAGTGTCTCATGCATATTAAAAGAGTATGAAAGTAATCAGAATTATTGAGGTGTGTATCCCGTATTATTGGGGAGTGTCCAATTTATAAGGCTAAGGCCTACTACCTTCATCGTCATATGGTTTTGAGGTGGAATCTCCTTTATTGAGTTGAGTTGTAATTTGGACCTTCTGAACAAAAGAGAAAGTTGTGTCCACTTTATTAGGTTGAGACGTTATTCCCCTCAACCCCTCATTGATATATGAGTGTGATGAAAGTGTTGTCCCACATTAAAAGTGAAGCAGAACATTGGGATTTGTATCCTATATTAAAAGAGAAAGTTCATTGTGTCCACTTTATAAAGCTTAGGGGTTATTCCTCCTCTCATTGTCATATGATTTCGAGGTGGATCTCTTTAATCGGTCATATATAGTGGATACTTTTGACGGGTGAAGCCCGAACCTGTTTAACACGTGCCAGTTAGTATCGTTTTATTATGTAAGTGGTACAAAAAAAATAGTACATAATAATTATAATAATAGTACAAAAAAAAAGTACACTTGTTAGTGGGTGATGTTCGGCACTATGCTTTCCTTGCATTGTGTTTGCAGTCTTTAGGCTACACTTTTTCGCAATTATGATATTGTTGGTCTGGGACCGGCCTTCAATGGTGCTCTTAGGCCCCGTTCTTTAGAGCTGCTTTGCTCTGCTCTACTCTGCTGAAATCTATTTTGCTTTGCTCTGCTCTGCTAAAATCTGCTCTGCTCAAAAGAACCGGGCCTTAGTATTTTTTATAGGACTATGGAGACTGACCTTATAAGTAACTTTAGTGAAATCGTTGTCTCCAAACTCATGAAGAAATTGGCAGATATATATTTCAAGAAGGTCACTAAATCTGCAAAATTCACTTTTTATCTATCTCCGCGTTAGGTTACCTTATGGAAGTTTCAGTAGAAAGATCAAACTTTGGCATGGTTGTTGCGAGTGGTCTCGATATTAGCGACTATGAATGATAACAATTACCGTTGTGTTCTTTGCTACAGGTTGGGTGTTATGGGGTTGTTATGGCAGATGTCATTACTAAAGGTATATGCAATGACTTTTTTTTTTATTGCGAAATATAGAATATTGGTAACAACATATTTGTTTACAAATATATGTTGTTGCCATATCTAAATGTCAAACCGATCGATGTAGAAACTTATTATTAGTAACAATAAAAATTGTTATGAAAAATATATGTTTAGCAACGAAATCTTTTTTGGTGAAAAACAAATTTTCGCAACCAGTGTTTTTGTTACAAAAAACACTTCTTGGAGTAGTGAACTATGTTACATTCATTTATTTACACAATATTCTAGTGGTATTGTTATACATAATAAATTAGTGGGAAGACGAGATACAATATAGGCTTTCACCCCTCTAATTATAGCAAATTATATCCAAATAAATAAATATATGAGCAACAATAAGGGCCCAATCTTGCGCTGTCCAGAAGCCCGCTGCAGCGACGCAATATTATTATTATTATTATTATTATTATTATTATGAAAGAGACAAGAGAGTATAATTAAATTGACTTTGTAGAATAACTTGAAAAAGTCTTCGTGTCTATTTTTTTCTTTGAAATTTAACAAAGACGTGTGCATGATTTGTATTATGCGAGAACGATGACATAAAATGTACATGCCAATTAAATATACATTTCGTGTCAAATGCCAATTGTCGTCTCTATAATAATTTTTGTAGACTTCTTTTTATATTTTGAAAATTGAAACCAATCCATATTATACAACTAGTTTTGTGTCCTTTGCGATACTTAACTTGTTACTCCTGGAGTACATATGCATGGTATTCTCAAATTTATAAAACTTATGTTATTTTAATATAAACTTCTTGTTATTTCAATTTATATATATATAATTTTAAAATAAATATATGTTATTTTATATTTGTATATTGCTTTTTTTTCAACATTGAACCTTTCGTTGTACTCTAGATTTATAAAATTCATGTTATTTTAATGTGAACCTCTTATTATTTCAATTTATATATATGTTATATTTTAAATAAGTACATGTTATTTTTATAAATGCTTTTTTTTTTTTTGTATGCATGATATTGAAGTAGATAAGTGAATAACATATTATTTTAGCAAACTAACACAAGATTTTAAACAAAATAACATAAGACTTAGGCAAAATAACTCAAATATATTGGGTATGGACTACCATTATCCAGGAGTATATAATACTAACTCCTGTACCTAATATGCTGCGTATGTATTAACATAGTGTCACTTTGACACATAACTAATGAAGCTTTTCCAAAAAAAAAAAAAAAAAAAAAAAAAAAAAAAAAAAAAAATTGATTTGAAGTTGATTATTTTTTAGAGGTGAAAGTGAAAATGCAAGTTTATTAGTCTTCAAAAAAAAAAAATGCAAGTTTATTGGCCTCCTTTTTGGGCTTTAATAATTGGAGAATCTAAATATATGAGCTCAAAACCATAATTCCATTATTAATAGTGAAGATGAAAAAAGTCTCTCGTGATTTGTCATGACTAAAGCCCAAACTATGTTATAGATAACATATGCCACGTTAGCAAAATCATAGGTCCAAATTACACTATGCTCATGAAAAAAGGTTAATCACTAAAACTTGCCTAAACAAATTGTATCCTCCTTATCCAAAAAATAAACCACCAAAATGCACTCAAACTAGTTGTGTAAACCATGACCACCATTTTGAATCCCACCATCACTTTACTCCAAACCAAGATCAAAAAATCACCACCCTACACCCACCACCAATCCCCTAATTCGTCGGCGATTCGATCATTGCTATCGGATGATGACGAGAACCAAACTCAACGCCGAAAATTTATGGTCACAACATTGCTAGGAGGGTTGAGCATCAATGCAACCTGTTTACCATTGAAAGCACAAGCTGAGGAAATGAAATGGGGCACCCGTTCTTTTATATGGGAGCGGTTTTTTCGAGCCCGGTTTATCACCAGAGGACGCGGTGGCTAGGATTAAGAATACAGCTGAGGGGCTTCATAGCTTAAGGCATATGTTGGATACCATGTCATGGAGGTATGTCATATTTTATATAAGGCTAAAAGAGGCTTATTTGAAGCAGGATATGAAGAATGCTATGAGTATGGTTCCTGAAGGAAGAAGAGATGATTATGTTAATGTTGCTAATGAGTTGGTTGATAATATGGCTGAGGTAATATAGTTCTTGTTTTGTTTATTTGTTATAATTTCTTTATTTGCTCATCACAATTCACACAATTTCGCTATAGTTCGATTCAGTCCCAAGTCTGGATAAAAGAGGAGGGGGTTTCGATAGGCCAGTGATAGCTAGTGTAAAACTTTGTCACATCCAGTAACATGAGCCAAACTAATATTTTGTTATAATTCAGTAAATATTTTAATTAATTAACAATATTGTGGATAGATATTAATGTTATATCATGCAAATAAATGACTAATTAGAAAGTAGGCACCAATGTACCTATGTATCATATACTTAAGATTGGACTTTGAAATTGAGAGAGTCCTATGATGAATTAGTTCAAAATACTAGAAAAGTTAACATCTTTAAATCGATGAAGGGGAAATATTATACTAGCACGTATACGTTGCATGTTGGAATGATATACATTCGAGCTAAGAAAGATAGTTCAATGGTAAGTTCCTTAGGAGTATATCATAAGAGGTAATGATTTTAAAACTATACATTAACAAGCGAGTCCAGTCAAAGTAGTGCATGTAAACTAGGTCATGCAGGCTAAGTGAAATGTGTGATGTGAGAAATAGTTACAGTGAACATTGAAATCGAACTTATCTATTGTTTCGGTTGAAAACAATGGGACCTTGCCGAAGGTCCACTAAAATGGAGAAGACTGGATTCGATCCAAGCTGTGTTGGGCCGAAGGTTTCCTGCACAGTTAACACACGTAAACTAGCCTCGGGGGTGTTTCCGAGGAAGGCCCCTCCGATGCTAAAGTCAGTACAATGTGTAAAAAGGAAGACACTATGCAAGAGAGTTTGTAGCTTGAGGCTTTTGTGGAGTATTTCTCAATGCAAGAATGAGCATATGAGTTGGAATAATCCGTGTATGAGATAATGTATGTGATGATGCATGTGTTGTTGTGTCTGATAGTGTATATGATGTTATGAGATGTCAATATGAGGGCTTTTATACCTCATCATGCTTGGAGAGGTTGGGCTTTAGCCCAATTGGCTTACTTTGTGGGCTGACTTTTGACTTTTGAGCAATTGGAGAGTTGAACCTTGACCTTGGGCTTTTAATTGGATCATTTAGTGCTCCGGCCCAATTTTGACTAAATTGGACCCAAACAACTTGCCCCCCAGACCCGATTTGGAAGAATGACGGGTCGGGTTTGATTTAACTCAGAAAAGGAGGGAAGTAAATGATTTAATTGATCCAAAAATTTGAATTTAAACCGTAATTAATGAGATAACAACGGTTAATGATTTGCGGAAGTTGGACGGATAATGGGCAGTTTAATCACAAGACATGTGTTTAATGGTTACTTAGTGGGTACTTAAGAGAAATTAAAGCACAGACTCTTCGTATCCCGTACCTGGAGGTATAAACAGAGGCGCGTCATTCTCCTCACTTATTCACCAACACAAACCCAGAATTCTTCGAGAGAGAAACCAAGAACCCGCATCAAAACTTCGCAAATTCCCCCGAGCATTGAGCTTAGAAACTGAGACTTGCCACTACGAACTCGTAAATCGGCAACTTTCGCTTCAGATTAAGGTAAATTCCTTTGATTTCAGTTTATTTTTCTTCGAATTCGAACTCCTTCCCCCTTTCTTTCGACTTTTCACTTCGAAATAATCCATGGCAAGAGGAGTTAGAGGTAGAGCCCGTGCTCCAAGAAGAGCAAGGCCGATTCCCGATCCTAGGAATAGGATTGGGACCTGGAATGGTCAAAGGCCGGAGTCTGTCCCTGCTGAAGGGATTAGGGCGACTCCCCTTTCCTCGGCTCCTCCTCAAAGAATGGATGAGCCGAGTGCTTCTGGACGGGACGATGAAATCCCCGCTGTCCTTTGGGATATCCTCCCTGGGTTTTCAGAGTGGGAGAATGCCGAAGTCGCTTCGGCCATGATAAAGAACCGCCCCTACTCATGGTGGGTAGAGAACGCCGATCAATATCGATTTGCTGAGCAAATTGAGTTGCACTACGGCATTTTTGAAGCTGATGGATATTGGTGCCGAATGCCCTCAGCATCCGATAGAATCCATCGTCCACCCCCGGGGTATGTGGGGGTGTACACGAGACAGCTTCAGTATGGGCTGAGGTTCCCTTTGGACGTTTTCGTCCGAGACTTGCTGATCCATTACAACATTTCCCTATGTCAGCTAACCCCCACCAGCATCCGAAGGGTGATGACATACTTATGGGTCTGCAAGTTCTTCAGATACGTGCCGAACCTGCACTGCTTCAGAAAGCTCCATCGGCTAGTGCCAAATATTCAGAGTGGGCACGGAAGCCATGGTTCTGGGTGGTATCGGATTGAGTCCCGGCCCCAATACTTGACCATGTGGCCAAATGACTCTTCAGACAAGGACTGGAGAGGTCAATGGATTTGGGTTAGGGCACCCACAGATCCGGGCCACCCTTGCGTCTTCAGCGCTCCCCGGTACTTAGCTGAGCCTGATCCCGAAATGGGAAGTCTAGGTCCCCCCGCAGATAACGGGGCGGATCCGAACCTGGATCAGCAACATATCTTCGGCAAGCTGCCGAACCCGGGGGGGAGTGGTCGAATGCAGCATATCCCGGAGACTTGGCTCCCCGATACGCATTACGTTTTCCAAGAGAATATGCTAGCAGCTGTTGGCCTCAGCCGAAAGTTTAAGGATGGTAAGCTTCTTCGGCTGGGGCCGAGGCTTTTTAACTACCTCTTTTTCTTCTCTCGCTTTGCTTTTTTATGCTGTGCCAACATATCTGAGCTAAACTTTTTCCCTTTCCTTTTTTCAGAGCGAGACGAGACCAACGTTGGTATTAACTACGCTCGTCTTGGTGTTAACCGAGAGCGAGTTGTAACTGAACGGGCCCCGTCTATCACTGAGCCGAGGCATAGGGAAGTTCATCTGGACTCTTCCCACTTCCAAATTGAGGCTGTCGCTCTGTATCAGAGGCAGAAGCCTTGGTGGAAGAAGAGAGACCCTTGGTTTCAGCTGCTGAACGAAGAAGCTGAAGCTGCCCGCACAGCCGAAGAGGTTGCACGGGTACTTGAGGCTTGTGAAGGAGGAGAAGGGTCCTCCAGAGCTGCTGAAGCCGAAGCTGCAGCTAGAGCAGCTGAAGAAGACGAGGCTTTGCTGAAAACCTCGGTGAGCTTTCAGACAACTTTTTTCTTTTCTTTTTTTTTTTTTTTTTTTTTTTTTTTTTTTTACTCACACTCTTCTTCCCCCCTGTCTGTTACAGTCTGAAGAGAGTAACAGACACAGAGAAGGCAAAGCTCCTGTTCGTCCCGAAGATCAAATACAAGAGTCTTCAGACTCAGATATGGACGAGCAGCCCCTTCTGAAAAGGCGCCGAAGGATGGCCATCATCGGCCCTCATGACTTTCAGCAGAGGCCGATGACCATCGGCGTCGCAATAAGGGAACCTGAGGAAGGCAATGGATCGCCGAGGGTTCCCCAGCCAACACCCCAATCTCCTCAAAAGACCCCTCCGCCACCTCCTGAGATGGAGGTGGATCAGAGGACTCCCGAACCTAAGGGAGGGGTCCAAGAAGAAATCAAGGAGAGTGCTGCTGAGCACGGAAATAAAGATGCCGTGATGTCAAGTGCTGAAGGCTTCACGGCAGATATCGCAAGAGAGGTTGAGGCCTTCGTCCTCACCCCTGAAGAAGAGGAGGTCATAGTACTTGACTCCTCTGAGAAGGACGATGCTGAGACAACCAAAGCTAATCAAGCTCCATCGTCGTCCTTCCCTTCTTTCCAGACTCTGCATTCTGGAGAAATGGGTTTCTCGGCCCCCCGAATTCCAATCCCAGATCACATCTGGGACCTCATATGGGGTCAAAACCGAGAAGGAGCTGAAGCCTACTTCGGCAGTTTTGCTGGCATGTCCGAAGTAGACAGGGCAAGGATCTGGTCGCTGAAGGCCACTGCTGGGATGGGCGAATCCAGTAGATCAGTTCCTGACCCAGCCAGGTCTGACCAACTGCTGATGATGCAGGTAATTTTCCTTCATTTCCTCCGAAATTCAGCTCTATTTTTTTTTTTATTACTTATTTTTTTTTTGTCTTCCTGTTTTCAGTTCGTGCACAATCAGACTCTCACTGTAGAGCTGATTGATACCCTACAAGATAGGGTAGACGCTGCTGTGCACGAAAGGAAGGTGGCTGAAGAGGAAGTTAAGCTTGCTAAGCTGAAGCAAGCAGCAGCTGAAGAGAAGCAGCAGGAGGTTGAGGAGTACGGTAAAAAAGCTGCCGAAGCTCTGAAAACCTTCTGCGATGCTATGGAGATGGAGGTTTTTCCCCCACTGATGGAAGGGGAAAAATTCCTCCAGGAGCATATGGGAGTGGACGTCTCCAAATTCAAGGCTGCTATTGAGAGCCGAATTCAAGAAGGAACTGCTGCACAAGCTGAAGTGCAGCAGCGTCTAGAGGCTCTTGAAGCCAGCCGAATGGCTGCTGAAGAGTTGCTCTTGGCCAAAGACGTCCAACTCTCAGAGGCTGCTGCTGCTGCTGAAGCTCAAAGAGCTAAATTCCAAGAGGCTGAGGATCAACTGCTGATCCAGAAAGTTGAAGTGGCCCAAGCTCAGACAAAGGCTTTCCAAATTCAGCAAGAGCTGAATGAGCTGAAGGGGTCCTCCTCCAAAGTCGCTGAACAGCTGAAGAAATCCAAGGAAGACTTGGAGGAGACCCAGAAGAAGCTGGCTGATGCTGAGGCTTCACTCAAGGTCCGTGTTTATACCCAAGAGGAATATGAGATGGGTTTCAGAAACGGATTCCGAGTATGCCGAAGACTCTGCCTTCATGCTGAGCCGAAGCTGGACTGGTCTAAATGTGCTGAGTGGGTCCAGAATCCCGAAGACCCTCACATGAAGTATGCAACTCCAGCTGAAGCTGAAATTCTTAAGGCTGAGGAAGCCGAAGAGGAAGCTGAAAGACTGGAGTTGGAAGCTGAGCAGAGGGAAAGGGAGGCTCGGCAAAATGCAAAGCCCGCCTCTTCGGCTG